GGTCTGCAAGTGTGCCCGTTCCAAAATTGAAAGTCGACTCTTTCAGTTGTATTGCCAATTGCATATGCAGGAAAATTTCTGTTAAGGTTCCTGCCCTGACGCCTGTCGAATATTATCCAACGCCCTTGTGGTATTAGCCAGGGGAGTAGTTGTTTTCTGATAAGCGTCAGTCTATTCAACCTACTGTTTAGGTATATCCGAGACTGGCTTGAACATTTAAAGTTAATTTCTTTAGATTTGTTTACTGCCACTCTTCAAGCATAGCCCACCGACTAATAAACTAATGTAATGTCTATAATCAATGCTTTATGATTTAATGTGAATATAGCATTATCAATTTCTGAATGCATACAACTCATCTTCCTATTTTGTACAAAACATTGATCATGTTAATGTTTTTTGTCTTTTACAGAATCTAATTTGAAGCTCGTAACAGAAGATATAGAGATTAATCCTGCCTTTTTTAAATGAAAGGAAAAAAATCACATGAATGTAAGATATGCATGAAAACTTTCAAGACCAGTTACCACTTGATTGAACATCAGGCCGTTCATTCAGTGTATTATCTGCTCAACTTCTTATAAATTTGAAGTCTTTGAGAGTTCCCCGAAGGAAACATAATTCAGAAAAAAGGGATGAAATTCACTCAACATCATGACAATTTGGTGAAACAAGCATGAAGAAGAGTTCTAGCGGGTGGACTAACAAACAAAAAATGTGAAAATAGTGTACAATGCCTCATTTGAATAATATAGAAATTAAATAACTCGCGAGAGAGTGTCTTTTTAAAAAGTATTTATTACACAAAACCAGATTGTTTCCTAGGTCAGAGCTGCAAATAGAATAAATGAAATGACTGTGAAACTGCCCGACTTTACATCACCATTACATTAGTAACAATCAGTTCACTGGTAATCTTTCCTGTGAACAATTTCTTAAACTCTGCTACGATAATTCGTAGACCTTTTATATCAGTAGCACAAAACCAAATAGCCGATCCACTCGTTTTGCGAGTTACAATCAAACTGATACTAACTATTTGTGAATGTTTCAATAGAACCATTTTCTTAGGAGTCGTTCTCTGTAATGTCACTTGGCATTTGTTGCTAATAAATCTTCAGCTTTCTGTATCTCAGCTACTATGCAGAGTTGATTGACGATATTCAGTAGGAATATTTTTTTACTACATTTTCAAGTGACTGGCAGGAAACAAAAATGTGTTACATCCCATAGATGCCCACGGGATATTACCATGAGTATTGAGATATTGCGTTGAGATGCATTCTCCTTTAT